GGCGTGAGCGCTGCCGCGCTTCCCAAGCGGCGCACTATCCAGTGCGCCGCTGGGCCGGCCCCAGCAATTTAAATTTTTCTCATGAAGTTTCTGTTCACGGCAGCATGTTAACCAAAGCTTGGTATGTACCACTGAAATAAATTTTTTTACTTAAAATCAGAGGTTGCCCAGCTTTTTCTGTGTAGGGCCACAGAGAAAATATTTAACACTTTACAGGCCATGTGGTCTCTGTTGCAGGTACCAACTCTGTCATTATGGTGTGAAAGCAGCAGGGATAATATGTAAACTAAAGGGAATGATATTTTCAATAAAACTTTGTTTCCTTTCTTTTTTTTTTTTCTTTTCTTTTCAAAAGATGACCGGTAAGGGGATCTTTTTTTTTTTTGTCTTTTTTTGTCTTTTTTTGTGCCCGGCAACGGATCGCAACCCTCAGTGTCGTGCCCGCACCGGACCGGGACCGGCAACGGGATCGCAACCCTCGGTGTTGCCCCCGCTCCTCGCTTAGCCAGTGAGCGGCCGGTCTGTATGTGGGATCCGAACCCTCGGCGGGAGCGCCACTGCGCTTCCCAAGCGGCGCACTGTAGCAGTGCGCCACCGGGCCGGCCCAGGTAAGGGGATCTTAATCCTTGACTTGGTGTTGTCAGCACCAGGCTCAGCCAGTGAGCCAACTGGCCATTCCTATATGGGATCCGAACCCGTGGCCTTGGTGTTATCAGCACCGCACTCTCCCGAGTGGGCCACAGGCCAGCCCTCCTTTCTTTTTTTGGCAGCCGGTCAGTGTGAACTGAACCCTTGACCTTGGTGTTATAACACCACACTCTAACCAACTGAGCTAGCTGGCCAGCCCAAAATTTTGTTTCTAAAAACAAGTGATAGGCCAATTTGTCCTGCAGGCCATAGTTTGTCTATGCACCATTGATGATAGTTTTTATTAAGCTTTCAAGTAAAAATGTGTCCTTTCTCTTTTTATTTATATTGTCTCCACTTTTTCTTGTTTTTTAAAAAATATTGATTAGTGGTGTTCTGATTCATTTATTTTCCATACTTAATTTCTCCAAGCTCCAGGTACTTCACCTGCAATAATATTTACCTTCCAGGGTCATGTTTTTGATGAAGTAAGGTGATTTATGTGAAAGCATCTAGCACAGGGCTTGCCACACAGTAGTTTCTCAGAATATAGGCTTTTATTTATTTATTTCTACAGAAAAGTGTAAAAGAAAACAAAAACAACTCATAATCTAATCACTTCTGTAGTCCTTATTGATACTGAAGTAAAAATAAAAACATATTCATATGCCAACAAAATTTAAACTGTACAAAAAGGTATCAAGTGAAAAATAAAAGCCTTCTACGTCTGCACTCCCTATTTCTCCTCTCCATGGTAACCACTCTTAACCTTTTGTTTTTTATACAAACACAAACATTTTGCATACCATTATATATATATTTAGCTTTTTTTTTTTTTGTCTTTTTTCATGACCGGCAACGGATCGCAACCCTCAGTGTCGCGCCCGTACCGGACTGGGACCGGCAACGGGATCGCAACCCTTGGTGTTGCTCCCGCACCTCGCTCAGCCAGTGAGCAGCCGGTCTGTATGTGGGATCCGAACCCTCGGGCGGGAGCGCCGCCGCGCTTCCCAAGCAGCGCACTGTAACAGTGCGCCACCAGGCCGGCCCTATATTTAGCTTTTTTAAATAAAAATTTCTGTGTGACGCAGGGCTGAGTTTAATACAGTTGATTTAACAGAGTAGATTTCTTCCAAAAAGTGCTAGGTTTTTGTCATTGAAATTGAATTTGTAAATTAATTGGGAATCTTGCCATTTAAAGGATTTTTGCCTTATCTGTTTTTATAAGGTAAAGACTCATCAATTGCAGGTAACCAGCCCTTGATTTCTTATGTGTAATCTTGGAGTTTTATGTCAGATTTTTTTTTTGGTCTTTTTTTTCGTGACCGGCAACGGATCGCAACCCTCAGTGTCGCGCCCGCACCGGACTGGGACCGGCAACGGGATTGCAACCCCCGGTGCTGCCCCCGCTCCCCGCTTAGCCAGTGAGCGGCCGGTCTGCATGCGGGATCCAAACCCTCGGCGGGAGCGCCGCCGCGCTTCCCAAGCGGCGCACTGTAGCAGCGCGCCACCGGGCCAGCCCCTATGTCAGATTTTTAAATCAACTTATACTACTTCTCATTTCCTTGTATGATTTTCCAACATAAGTGTTAGAAATAATGGAATTGTTTTGCTTAATTTTGATGGTTAATGAACACTAGCAGTCTCTTACAAAATTGGTTTTGGGGGAATAGTAGTAGTACTTGATTCATAAACTATCCATACTGTGAAGTGTAATTTATTATGTACTGAAATAAATTCCTTAGCCTGTGGTGGAATATAATTTGTTAATGAGCTGTGTCATAATTCTGTTGTATCTTGAAGGTTATTGTTCAGTTCCAGCCTTCCTCAGTGCCAGATGAATGGGGGACCACACAAGATGGACAGACAAGGCCCAGGGTTGTAAAGCGTGGAATTGATGATAACCTTGATGAAATTCCTGATGGTGTGTATAATTTTTGAAGGACTGAGGTGTTGCTTTGTGTTGCTTCATCCCACATGGATTTGTCACCCCACTTCCCCTGGGTGATGGAGATGCAAAGGATTACTCAAAGCCCATCTCTTCTGAGCAGTGAGAAGCCCCGAAGTGGTTAAATTCCCTGGGAATGCTCAAGCAAGAGCCAACCCTTCCATTTGAGAAAATAATGCCGAATTGGGGTTCTCTTCCTGCATTTATTTTCCAGACCAGGAAGTTACAGGAAGAGACATAGGTGGGGTTATAGTTTAACAGTATAGGCTGGTAACTTTCAGTGAAACAAGCCAGATGACATTCCAGTAGACGATTAAGTGTTCTTATCAGCACAAGCTTGGTCTTAGCAAACATTCCTTCTTACAGCAATTTCTCAGTATCTTTACATAACAATCAGTAACTAGTCTGTCTTTGACCCAGCAACTCAAGATGTGCCACAACTCTGCTGTGCCACAAATCTTTATCTTACATCAGAGACTTATAGCCTGAGGAAAATTTCCAGTCCTCTACAAGGTCAATATTTGAAACTGCAAGACTCTGGAAAACCAGGCCCTGTAAAGTTCGTATGCTTTTTAGTATATTCCACACTGAGGTTTTTTTTAGTTGTCTCTATTTTAGCATTATTCTTTAGAACAGTGAAAAAAGAAACACAGTTATTAGGATTACCTGCCATAGCATGCAGGTATCAGCCAGTTTGGTTCATGTCTGGCTTTTTGATTTTATCACCTTTATATCTTTATTTTTTAATTCAAAATTTTGTTGAAGATCCACAAACCACATAATATGGACTCTAAAATATGTATTGTTGCAGAGAAGCACTTGGCTGGTTGCAACAGAACTTTAGCAATACTTTTGGGCTTGCGTTTCCATGCCTCACTAGTTTGTATTACTCTAGTGCGGTGATTGATGAACTTCTCCTGTAAGGGGCCTGCTAGTGAGTATTTTAGTATTTGCAGGCCATCGGACTCTGGTAGCTACTCAACTTTGCTGTTGTAGTGTGAAAGCAGTTATAGACTGTATGTAAACAGATGGGCATAGCCATGTTTCAGCAAAACTTTATTTATAAAAACGATAGAGGGCAGGATTTGGCGCATGGGCCGTATTTGCCAGCCCGTGCTCTAATGTATGTGCTTTGGTTTTTCTTATTATACCACTTAAGAATGGATTTTATTTTGACAATACTTCATGTTTCATTGTCTTACAAAATTATAAAGTAAATAGGTGCTCATGAAATCTGAAAGAAGTAATTAGAGTAGAAAAAATAATACATTTAACTTGAAGATGTACCTTTAGTATTTGTGAATCTAACCAATCAAGGGGAAGGATTTTGGGGAACAATTTTAAAGTTTTATATTGGCAAATTGCTTCTCCGTATGGGGCTTAGGGCCCTGAGGAATTCCGAAGCAGTCAGAAAGTTATGGAGCCTCCATAGGTACAAACTGCTGGTCATCATATGTTGATAGCCTCTAGGAATAGAGCCTGCTTCCTCTACCTCTTGGTCTAGTTCACTGTTATTTGCCAAGATGGACTGATTGTTCTTCTAATTTGGTAGAAGGTAGCGAGGCTTATTTGCTTGGAAGGGTCATGAATTTCTTTGACAAGTTTGTGATGACAAAAGGGATATCTAGAATATTGCTATTTAATTAAGAAAACCCAAATTCCCAGGTTTTATGTATGTATGTTTTTTTTATAGGGGAAATGCCTCAGGTTGATCATTTGGTGTTCATGGTACATGGCATCGGACCTGTGTGTGACTTACGCTTTAGGAGCATTATTGAATGTGGTAAGTGTTAGTCATATTTTATTTTATGGAATGCTCTGAGAACTAATAGAAGAGCTTTTTTTTTTAAAGATGACTGGTAAGGGGATCTCAACCCTTGGCTTGGTGTTGTCAGCACCACGCTCAGCCAGTGAGCCAACCAGCCATCCCTATATAGGATCCGAACCTGTGGCCTTGGTGTTATCAGCACCGCACTCTACCGAGTGAGCCACAGGCCGGCCTTAGAAGAGCTTTTAAGTATTTGTTTTTAGGATAGTTTCCAGCTGTGTACTACTTGCTGAGGAGCTGTATGAGATTTAAGTGATTATTGGGAAATATTAATTTGTACTTGATTTGCTCTTATGAGATATATAACTCATAAAATCCTAGACCCTGAAGAATTAGAAGGAGTCTAGGAAATCATTTAGCCTTTTTGGGAGACAAGGAAATAAACCCACTAGACAGTTCTGTACAATTTTACAGATACATTTAGAAGTTAAATACAGCAATATTTTCAGTGAAGTCTTAAAAGGGTAGCCATATTTTGGAAGTATTCAGTAAAAGGGTATGTGAGTAGTAACAGTTAACATAAGAAGTAAAAGTCACTTTTATAGTTTTTATTATTCCTTAATGCTACTAAATGTGTCAGCCTCTGCGTGCACACTTCCGGCAACTAGGAGTACCTGTGCATTGAACTGAGTTAGTTGTGAGACGTTATTTTAATAGGACCATGAATCTGCCTTAAATTTTTGACATTTTATGTCTGTATAATAATAGTTCATATTTATTGAATACTTAGTATGTGCCAAGTACCTTGCATGTATTGTATTATTTAGCTCTCACAAATGAACGTTTGGGGGTATAGTGGTACCACTGTTATCCCCACTATTAGGTGAGGAACTGAGGCTCAGTAGGTAATTTAAGCTCTCCTGTATGAAGAGTCTTGAAGCCAAGATCATAAGGCAGTGGTTTGATTCCATAGTCTTTATCCAAGGTACCATGCCTCTCAGTAGTGGTAGTTAAACTAATGTTTTCCAGGCACTTGTATGTTCCCCTAAAATAATGAAAAGAAAAGAGCTTCCCAAAGGTTGGTAATTATTATTTTACTAATTTTGTCATCATTATTATTTTTCTTTTAAAAATGTATCTTTCTGTTATGAACAATTAACTAGCATATTTGAAGTAATTGCTACCTAGCTATCAAGCTAGGACAATTTAATCAATTTATCTCCCCCCCCCCTTTTTTTTTGTAGTGGATGATTTTAGGGTGGTTTCTCTCAAATTGCTGCAGACACATTTCAAGAAATCTTTAGATGATGGGAAAGTAAGCAGAGTGGAGTTCCTTCCAGTTCATTGGCATAGTTCCTTGAGTGGGGATGCCACTGGTGTTGACAGGTTTGTAGATGTAGATAACTTGTTTTTCAGATTAGTCAAACTTAGATTGAAAATTCAAACCATAATATGAAATAGTTTATTATGACTTCAACAAATATGTTTTTTAAAAAATTTATATACTTGCTCTGATATATGATTAAATACTGACTATAAAGTTTACATGCTACTTTTCTGTGTGTGTGTACATACATATTTATGTATTCCTATTGTAAATATTTAGGAGAATCTAAGAAATTTTAGCTGGCTTTAAAATACAGTTCTAGGGCCGGCCCGGTGGCTCACTCGGGAGAGTGTGGTGCTGATAACACCAAGGCCCCGGGTTCGGATCCCATATAGGGATGGCCGGTTCGCTCACTGGCTGAGCGTGGTGCTGACAACACCAAATCAAGGGTTAAGATCCCCTTACCGGTCATCTTTTGAAAAAAAAAAAATAAATAAATAAAATAAAATAAAATACAGTTCTAACTATAGTGGGTTGTCCTGTATAGCACCCCTGGCCTCTCCACCCACTAATTAACAGTACCAGGCCCTCTATCACCATGTGACAATCAAAAATGTCTTCAGAAATTGCCACATGTCTCCTGTAGGGTAGAATCATACCTGGTTGAGAACCACTGATTTAGATGATTGTTTCTCAGTGGAGATGTTCCTGACAGGACAGTTTTTTGTTGTGCAAGACAGTTACATTGCAGGCCATTTAGCATCCTTAGTTGAAATGCCACTAAATGCTAGCAGAGCTTATCAGGCACTGTGACAACTAAAAATGCCCCACTCAGTTTTGAATACTCCTAGTTGAGAACCAAAAAAATAAGTAATATTTATGCTGGCACACAGGGCAAGTAACATGTCTAGATTTTAGTGAGCATCATGATGTTCCAGGGAACATGGTTTAATAAAACTAATCCTACAATCAGCATTCTGTCCATGTTAGAGGGTATTTTTTTTCTCTGTGGATGTTCATGAACTTCATTTTGCTCATTCTCAAATCAGGATAGGATTTCATTCCATGTAGCATCTTTCTTACCCCATTTGACATTCGTTTTTATCTTTTCCACCATAATTTTTGTCAGATGTCCATATTTCTAGTTAATTGGAAGAAAAATGGAAGTGTAGGCATTACTTTTAAAAATAAAACTAAAATCTTAGCATATGACTTATTTTACATAGCAGCTCTTCAGAGAATCTCAAAATTCATAGTACGGTTATGGACACAAATAACTTTTTTTGCTTTATCTTGTTTTATTTATAACAACTGTTTATAGAATCAACTTGTAATTAGCCTATAGAGTTTTTTACTCAGTTTTTTCAGGAGTCAGAATCTACACTTTTAAAAATCCATAGATTTAACATGGATATTGACTGAATATACTTTTTTTTCCTTTTTAAACAGGAACATCAAGAAAATCACTTTACCAAGTATTGGTCGGTTTCGTCACTTTACCAATGAAACCTTGCTAGATATTTTATTTTATAATAGCCCCACCTACTGTCAGGCAATTGTGGAAAAAGTAGGAATGGAGATAAACCGTCTACATGCACTTTTTATGAGTCGGAACCCAGACTTCAAAGGAGGAGTCTCTGTTGCCGGTCACAGTTTAGGTAAAACTGTCAAATATATATACATTTTAAACTTAATTTTTGTTGAGTCATCAGTGCTTTCAGCGTGGTTGACATTGTTAGTGCAGATTTAGAATTACAGATCTTAAGTTTTATGAAGGGTGGAAATGAATGCTTTGAATTTAGTTTCTGCCTTTGCTATTCACCTCTAGTATTACCTAGGAATACTATATATTTTAATTTATTCTCCTGTTTGATAAAACAAGAATTTGATTATTGGGTCTTGGTTAACATCTAAGTTTTATATGACTTCTGCCTGGGACTTTGGAAAAAAAACAGAATTTTTTTTAGTGTTATAAAAGCACCTAATACATCATAAACAAAATGCTTCTTTTTCTTAGGTTCTTTAATATTGTTCGACATCCTGTCTAATCAAAAAGATTTAAATTTATCTAAGTCTCCTGGGCCTCTTGCTGTTGCTAATGGAGTTATGAAACAGCCACACTTTCAGGAAAGGCAGGTATGTCTGCACGTGGTCCAATTAGCATTTAGATTTAGAGTTGGAGCTGAACAGTTTTCCAAAATCTGAACTGTTTCCTAAAACTTTTTATATATCAAAATACACTGAGGTTTAGAAGTGTAATGGAATCATATGGCTGGTTGTTTGCGTTTCTTACTCCTATTATGAATTACAAATTTAAAGTGAAAGTTTGTGATTTTTTAAAATGTAAACTAAATTATTGTAGGAAGTGGGAGCATGATTGGTTTATTAAATTCATATCATTTTCAGAATATGCAAACTTTGGATGGCAAAGTACCTAAAATTATGTTTTGTCTATAAAACAAAATTGTATAAGATTTTTTATAGATTAGGAGATATTATATGGGAGTTTTTCTGAGCTTTGTAATGTTTCCCCTACTTTTTTTTTTTTTTTTAAGATGCTCGAAGAGCCAAAGATGACTTTGGATGAGTCGTGTGACCTTGATGTTGAAAATGAAGAAGTTCTAACTTTGCAAGAAACTCTGGATGTACTTAGCCTCTCTGAATATGTTAGCACTTTTGAAAAGGAAAAGATTGATATGGAATCTCTGGTATTGATTATTTGATTCATTTTTGCTTAAATTGTTTTTCCTATGTATAAGATTGGAAATTAAGAATGATTTAGACACTCTTACATTAAAATACTTTCCAGATAAGGTAGAGACTTGAGTTTAAATAATTGAAAAACACAGGAGAGTTCTTTTTTTAGACTTTGGGAGGGCTTTTCTAAGTAGGACACAAAACCCAGAAGCCATAAAAGAAAAAAATATTGCATAGCAGTAAACACTATAAACAACATCTAAAGACCAGTGATAGATTAGGAAAAATATTTGAAACACATATTGTAGACATTGTTTCCCTAATACTCAAAGCTTCTACAAATCAGTTACAGAAAGACCATCAACATGGTAGGTAAATAGGCAAAGAATATAAACAGATGATTTACAGAAAAGAATAGCAAATGGCTTTTTTTAAAAAAGATGACTGGTAAGGGGATCTCAACCCTTGGCTTGGTGTTGTCAGCACCATGCTCAGCCAGTGAGCCAACTGGCCATCCCTACATAGGATCCGAACCCGTGGCCTTGGTGTTACCAGCACCGCACTCTCCCGAGTGAGCCATGGGGCTGGCCTTGCAAATGGCTTTTTACTATATGAAAACTTGTAAGAGAAATACAAATTGAAAGTGCAATGATGGGCTGGCCTGGTAGCTCCCTCAGGAGAGTGCGGTGCTGATAGCGCCGAGGCCGTGGATTTGGATTCTATATGGGGATGGCTGGTGCACTCGCTGGCTGTGCATGGTGCAGACAACACCAAACCAAGGGTTATGATCCCCTTACCGGTCAAGAAAAAAAAAAAAGTGCAATGAAAAAATTTTATTCTATCAGTTTGACAAAAATAGAAAGTTTGATAATATACTACGTGGCCAGGATGAGGGGAGGTGTAGGCACTGTTATATATTGTCGGTCAGAGTGTAAATTGTTACAACCTGTATGGAGGGCAGTTTGGCAAAATCTTTTAAAATATAAAAATTACATACCCTTTGCTCCAGCAATTTCACTGCCAGGAATACTTCCTATAGAAAAGTATTCACATAAGAATGTTTGTAAGGATACTCACTGCAGCAGTTTGTAATATAGTAAAACATTAGAAACACCTTTAGCGTCCACTAGTAGGGCACTAGTTAAATCACTTGTGGTGCATCCACATAATGGAGTACCCAGCAGCTGTTGAATGAATGAGATGGTGTCAGAGATACTGATCTCTAAGATACATTACATGAAAAGAGCAAAAGTTCAGTGTTGTTTGCTCAGTAGGCTACACACACACACACACAGACACACACAGAATAACATGTTGATGCTTTGTATATGTGAGAGATCTTTGCAATGAGAGGAAATTGCTAGCAGTTCCTGCTGAGAGGAAAGTTGGGTGGTTGGGACAGGAGTGGAGGGGAGAGACTTCATTGTGTGCCTGACTATAGCTTTGGAATTTTGTACAAATTTTCTGTTAAAAATTACTAGGTAGGGGCCGGCCCGGTGGCGCACTGGAGAGTGCGCCGCTTGGGAGTGCGGCGGTGCTCCCGCCGAGGGTTCAGATCCTATGTGGAGACCGGTTCCCGCTCCCTGGCTGAGCGCGGTGCGGGTGCAACACTGAGGGTTGCGATCCCGTTACCGGTCAGTAAAAAAGACAAAAAGGAAAAAAAAAAATTACTAGGTAGAATGATTTAGATATGGAGGCCTGAGATTTTATAGCCAAACAAATCTATGATTTAAAAACAAAAAAATCAACTTTTTGAAAATTGACTGGCTCTTAGATTGCTTTACATGATGTGATTTCTTTTTCTAATTTTTGTATACCAGTGTCAGTTCACCTGCCACTAATTTGATTAATTAATGTGCTTGTTTGTTTCCTTCTAAAGTTTATGTGTACAGTTGATGACCTGAAGGAAATGGGGATACCCCTTGGACCCAGAAAGAAGATAGCTAACTTTGTAAAACTTAAAGCAGCCAAACTGGTAAGATTCATCTCTGCCCTCAAGAAAAACAAAAACTCGTGTGTGACCAGAGATCATTTCTATTTTTGAAATTTTCGATACCACTGTGGTTAGGCAAGTTAGTTTGCTCCCCACCTAGGGCACAATAATGGAGCTAATGGAAGCCCAGACTTTGGAGTCAGTCAGAATTGGGTTTAAATCCAAATTAGTGTAACTGACCATTCTGGTTTTCTTGGGACAGAAAGAGTTCCCAGGACAAGGACTTTCAGTTTTAAAACTGATATTTGAGGATTTCCTGGTGTAAAAACTGGTTAAGTCCTGGGCAGATAGATAAGTTGTTTGCCCTGATTCCCAGTTCATACTAGCTACATATTTGTGAACAGTTTGCTTAATTTTTCTAATCCTTGGTTTCCTTCATTTCTTTCTTTCTTTTTTTTATTTTTATGGAGTCTGGCTAGAATGGGGATCCTAGCCCAGTTTCCTTCATTTCTAAAATGAGAGGGATACACACACACACACGCACAAAACAAAGCACAGGGATATAAGGAATCTTTTGGAAGTAATAGGTTTGGTTATTACCTGGAGGGTGGTGATGGAATCACATGTGTATGTGTATGTCCAAACTTATGAAATTGCATTCATTAAATATGTGCACTTCTTTGTATATCAATTATACCTTAGTAAAGCTGAAAGAAAAAAAAATGCAAGTGACAATTTCTTCCTCATAGGGTTGGAGTGAGCATGAAATAATGCATGTGAAGCTTAGCACCCAGGAATAACTATGTCTCTTCCCAATCCTCTCACCATCTAAAGAGATGAGGAAGCACACACATCTCATTAAATGGCCAGAGAGCGAAAATTCCTAACAATACAAAATAAATCAACAACTAAAAAACATTAAAAAAAAAATAACTGGGAAAAACTTAGTTGTTTTATTTAATTTTAATTTTTTGATCAAATTAATTTTATAGAGATTTTCTAATTAGTTAGAAAAATTAGATAACGATTAAGGTGGCTATTTTATTATTAACATGGTCTTTGATGATACTTCCATCTTTTGATCTTCTGTGGTTCTATTATTTGTGCTACTTATTTGGAATTTAACATATGCCACTTTATGTGGCATATGGCTATTAAAGTCATAGGACTGATTTTTTTATGGATAGCTTAAGGATTGAGTCATTCACCATTTTATAGAACATCTCTTAGGTCAGGCACTGTGCTCAATTCTTGGGTTGTGGAGATAAATCAAGAGTACACAGTCTAGTTGGGATAGAGTTGACTATAAATGACAACACATCAGTCCCATGACAGTGCGGTCATTGCTGTCTATAGCCAGATGAGGGGTGGAAGTTCTGGCTTGTTCAGAGAGGCCTGGGATTGGTGAGAGAGAGAAGACTTCCCCAAGGTGTTGGTGCTTGAGCTTAATGGAGGGGTAGAATCAGAGGAAATGGCCTTCCAGGAGCAGGCATGTGTTTTCCTATAGCTGAAACATTAGATGAGCTAGGAATGCAATAGGATAAGAGAGTTCCAGAGGCCTGAATGGCGGGTGTGGAAGTTTGGATTTTCTTGTGTAAGGGAATGGCTCTGAAGTGTGTTCTTATGGCTGTGAAGTTCATGATGCTTTTAAACAAACATGAAATGCCGACCTGCTTATTAATTCTTTTTAAAAAAAAATTATTTATTATTATTTTTACATTCTACGATGTTGCTGTGGAGCAGTTGTGGGGGAGGGGGAGAGGAGAAAAGGGAGGAGGAGGGGGGTGGGGGGATGGTCGAGGCCTGTGGCACCCCTGTCATTCTGCCAGGGGAGATTATGGGGCTTCCAGTGGCAGCTTGGTTGTGGCTGGGCTGGGTGTGGGTTTTATTG